CTTCACAGCCATGCGCCTGCGCATGTTCTTTTGCACAATCGTGACAAGAGCATTGAGCTTTTCCGAGCGGAGGGACTCCAACGCTGCGAGCATACCAGCCCTGAAAAAAATCTTTGTGAGACCACTCTGATATTTGTCAGGGTCGTTGATGGTTCTCTCAAGAATAAGTGAGCAGAGAGGCTTGAGTTCCATGTGCTGTATCATTGGCTGCCAATCTGCTGAGGGTACTAGCATGTAATACCTGTGTAATGACAATTAGTAACGCGGAGAACTACAGTAGTGACCGTACCGCTCAGCAAACTCTTCATAAATCCAACGTGAAGGGTATCCAGCACAAGAGATACGTATGGTTTCGAGAACACCACAAGCGCGCAACTGGCCTAAAACTTGAGATGGTGTGAACTCCCAAGGTCTTTTGGCTTCATTGGGTTTGATGCACCGTATATAGTGGACGTTTGTGATGCTGAGGGTATCCATCAAGGTGATCAAAGAGGCTTTGAAGATAGAGCCTTGTGTGGGCTTCCGGATGGCAGCTCCTGGTCTCTTGGGGCCAGCGTTCGCTGCGACCAATGATGAACGACCAGGATCAGGAATGATGGATGAACGACGGGAACCTCCACTGCCAGAATCAGACAGAGAGGGTGACCCAGGATGTGGAGGTTCAGCTGCTTTCACAGATCCAAGGGCAGCGTCGAGAACTTCCTTCAAGAAGGGGTTCTTCGTGGATGCAAGCAAAAGCATATGTTCATCAGGAACTGTATCACGGTTCTTTTCGAGAAATCCTTCAACTTCGTACGTGACATCGTGGGCATAGTGGGCAATGGTGAACGCAGAATTTCCGAACCGAGGTTTCTTGAAGACGTCTTTGTTGGAAGGCTTCAGAAGTTGGCTGCTCAGTTTTTGAAGGAAAGATGCGTCACTGCCTGACGGTAAACGCGACTCTTCATCAAGGAGCGCGAGGACGCCTAGTTTCCCTTCGATCACATCAATGCAAGGTTGATTGTCTGAAAAGTCGATGAAAGTCCAGTTAATCTCCTCCTTAACGTACTCCTCTTGCTCGAGTTTGAAGACGTGAGAATTGAACTACGACAGTGATATCTTAAGTCGTGAACACGTTGCAGATACTTTACACTCACCTCTTGCTGTAATTTTTCATTGGCGTAGTTGATGCTAAACTGCTCGAAGGAGTTCTGTAAACAAGTGAGTGTCATGAATTAACTGAAGGATGGGATGTAACCTTCTGAAAGTGTTCAAAGCCGTAAATGTCCAGCACACCGATGAACATCTCAGCTCGCTCGGCGGCATCTCCGTTTTCACCAGCCAAACTTTCATTGACGATGGCTACCAACCACTCAAATAAGCATGCATACACAAACTTCGCCACACTGTCCCTAACCACTGTCGCCTGTGCAGCGTTGAGTGCAGTGACAATTTTTTCCGAGCGTGTGACAATCTGCTTCTTGACAGTCCACTTCTTGAAATCGGCGAAGTTCACTCCCAAGAAGCGAGTAGCAAGAAGAAGGGCAGGATCTGCGTCATCTATGGCCGAATCATTTCGTGTTTGGGTAACCTTCACGTTGCCCAGATGGAGCAGGGCTGAGAGAAGCCGGAAGACCGCCCACTGTTTCTCTACGCTGATTCCAACTGTCGATAATGCTTGCTGCGTCGCCCGGAACTCCTCCGCATCATCAACTCCACTTATCGGTGTCGACGTCGGTCCTCCTTGTTTCAGATAGTGAAATTTAGTCACGTCAGTGTCAAGGCCAAGGTCCTTTCGTTCTTTCGACGGTGCGCCAGCACACAGTTGATAAAAGATATGGTAATTCCGTTCGGTCGTTGGTTGAAACACAATGCGTGATCGTTCCAGCAGGTAAGTCCGGATTCGGGCGCCGACAATTTCTTGTTTGCCATCAAAAAGAATCTACAGCACATGTTAGATATTCAGCGGCCTAAATCCAAATTACTCGCCTGAATGTATTTACCAAATCGCGAAGAATTGTCGTTACGAGTTGTTTTGGCATTTCCAAACGATTCTAGAATCGGGTTTGTGGCGAGTATCTGGCGCTCGATTTCACTGGATTCGTCGAGAGAAAATTTTGTCTTCGCTTTCGTTTGAAATTCAGGAGGATTCACTGATGCCAGGTATCGCATGATGAATTTAGCCTGAAAACAGTTTAGAGTTTCAATAACACGGAGAAGCACTGCACACACTGATTCAGTTTTACCGGCTCCACTGAACGACGACAGAATTAAATCAGTATTACAATCAAACTACAGATGCATGGAGATTACCTTTCACCCGATACAATGATAGTCTGGCCCATACCCTCCTTCGCCATCGCGGTATATGCATCCTCAGCAATAGCAAATAAATGGGGCTCAAGATCTCCTCTTTTCCGTCCACTGTAAGCCTGAATAATCTCGGGGCCATATAGAGTAACTCGTTGAAAAGGATTGACGGCAATAAGCACGATTCCGCTATAGGTGTAAATGCTATGTTGGGCATATCGATTGCGGATGGTATGCAGGACTTGAATAGCACTCAGCACTGATTCCGACGTTCACCATAGAAAAATATACCTGAAGGCTCATTTAGATGCGATAGGGTAGCCAAATCATCTGCTGTTTCTAGCAAGGGAGGATTTCGAAGAGGAGGCAAGCCTTCCTTTCCAGCCTTGATGTCTTTGCCGGTGGTATTAATGATAAATTCCTGTCATTCACATCGCAACTCATGTCGGTGAATTCTGACAATTGAACAGTGAGAAATGTGACGCGTACCTTGCCTCGTTCATCGACAAACGCCAGTTTTATCGAACCGTCAGCGCCTTTGGTAACAGCCGTGACCTCTGCAGAAATCCATGCCTGATCCTTGTCCTCGAACCAGACTCTCGTTCCCTTGCTGTAGATGTTTTCAGCCATTGCCAAGGCGTCGTAGGTAACGATCGTGAGCTACGTTGACCGTGCGCCAGAGCTGGAGTGCAACGCAGTCGAATTGTGGTCACTGAGAGTATTGAGGGACCTTCATTTGAATAATTTGTCCCACGGTCCGTGATGTCCAATAGCCACTTAGTACATGAACCAAGGTCAACTGATAATTTTCGAACTATCGACTGTCATAGGTGTACTAGGAGATACCCGCAGCATCATATGTCAATGGATTTCAGTACTCAGAGCTTAAGCATCCACCCCTTTGCAACGAAGGTCAATGAAATTTCAGTGTGACAAGAATGTTGAATAACAAGTAAGACATGGCAAGCGAGGCTAGCGTTGAATGGATGGGACCCACGAGGAAAACCCATGTTATAAGAGCTAGTGGTAAGAAAAACAGACCGCCAGGAAGCAGATCATATCACTTATCCTCAGATACTATCCGTAGTGCGCCTATGGATATAAGTGTCATGCCTTCGAGAACAACTTTTTAGGTAAGTAGCAACATGTAACAGGGAACGTGGGGATACTGCGACGCTTATATTTTCTTGTTTGATGAGTGGGGAACCCGGATAAGACAGTCAATATCTTCTCATGCCAGTGAAGAATCTACAGTTCAGCCGAAGTCATTTACGACAGAAGTAGTTTCCCCTGCTTGAACATCATCTCATCACATGCAAAGGTGTGTTGCATGAGCACTTAAAGCTGCGAGACGGATCTCCGCGAAGGCCAGGCAGTGGTCAAAGATGTAATACGCATTTTCCGTTGCACCAGTGTTTGGCGTATCGCAAAACCGGCGACGCCGCACCTAGCACGGTGACTGTATAACTGTGAAGATAGAGGCTGAGCAAACTGACACTTTACCACCAGTGAAATTACGTTCGAAAGGTAATCTAGGGTGCTCTAGCCACGTCCAGCTGATCTACTTTGATTGAAATCTTGTAAGAGGTGAAATGTTGAAACCCCCAATGTGTACTAAGTAAGGTTTTACTCCATATGTAAGTATTAAGCGCGCGCTAAGCAATTCAGGTCCGTTACCGTAACCTAGCTATACTTACATAGTACCTGAACCTTACCTAGCCTGCTGCATAGTGAACGTTTGCCGTGTGACCTGTCCTCACGGAACAATTACGAGAGAGGATTATGATATCTAGTGTTTTCAGCAACATAATGAATACTCAACTTGCTGGGTGCAGTCGGCGAAGTACCTACAAACATCACTGAGATTTCGGAAAGACAAGAGCTCATTGCCGTAGACCTTGGCGTATTCTAAACCAACAATGCGGACAGCAATACAATTCGAGCCTATACTATTTGGCCTTGTCAACTGGTCGAACATAAATCATAACATGATTCACCTGAATACCTGCAGGGAAGGTGGGAAATTCGTGCAATGAAGTCTACCGATGAGGCCGGAGCTACTATACGATTGGAAGCCTTGGGATGTCACCAAGACCAAACTATCAGCTCAAAGGGGGGTATCGATAAGCACTGGAATACATGCCTGCGTATATGCCGGATCATCATCTGAGGTCGATCCGACGAAGCGTGACAGCTGTTAACTGGTTAGGGTTTTTTATATATCCATTCTGTCCTGAACTCTATGAAGGACATTAAACGTTCTAGTACTAGTCTACTCAGGACCCCTTTCATGACATGCCACACGCACCAAATACATACAAACACGTTGCAAGGAGTGAACGCTTGAACTTTGAACGTTGCAGTGACTGAAGACAATCCGAGTTCAATTGACTCGAAACCGGTTTTTTTGGCCCATCCTGTAGTCCATGGGACTGTGAAGCCCGACGCAATTTAAATTCCGTGGCTCAATTGACGCGGACTCGGATCCAGTATGCAGGTCAAATATATTTAAAGGTCAGTTCAAGTCTGGACAGCTGGGGGACTCAGGGTACAACTCTTGGCTGACTCCTGCCAGCTTGCGTTTACTCTTAGTTTATGCAAGAAAAAATTTGGCTGTGACTTGAAGGCATGCGGAGCCCTTTATAAGATCTCATTTCAGGTATAGTCTTTTCACTTGTCTTCATACACAAGTCAACTCGGATGCTGTATAAGTTTGTAATAGAACGTATCTCCCGTCGTGCATTGGCCCGGGTCGTTTCTACTTTCTCTGCGTACTTTTCGTCACCATTCATCCGTTTTCCCACTTGGGGGGATCGTCGGCTTTCCTTGTGTTGAGCTTGAAAGAGCTCGTATTCTCTGTCCAAGAGGATCTGGCGCAGCAGCTTGAAATCACTATTATAAACATCACGGGGGCCCTGGCAGGTATTGGCGTATCGACCTTCGCCAAATACCTTGCAACTATTCCGCAGGAGGGATCGGTAACATCCCGTTTCATACCAGCCGTATTCCTTGTGATAATCAGCTTTTTCGGTTTGTCTTCCGCCGCATCCTATAGAGACACAACTAACAAGTTATCCTGAAAGCTGGTTGGGCGAAAAGCCGACTTCCTCGTCTTCATTTATCTGCGCGGATATCGTGTTTTGTGTCCATATGGCTGTTGACTGACAATATTGGAATAACCTCTGTATGTTGCTGTGCCCTTCCCTTTAAACGTAGATTGACAATCACTCAGGCCGTCCTCTCAGACTCGGGCGGTTTTTTATGGATCACCGTGACAGCCGCGTCTGTTTGCTTGTTTTCTAGCATGTTGATTTTACATTGGTCCTCAACTCATCTTATTGAAGAAGTCGCGTCAACATTGAGAACTATCCATCGATGCTTATCCGTGGGCATGGATAATCCATTTACTCATCCTTCCTCCCAGCAAATTGCTGAATTGAAGGATTTACACGGAGAGTTGGTCCACCAGTCTGTGATACTGAATGAAATGTACTGTCAAGCAGCTTTTGAACTCCGTGTTGGGCGCGTTAGCGGTGAGCATCCTGTTCACGTGCCCATTTTCCATATGTTGACATTCCATACTAGTGAAGTCCCTCAAGCCTCTCCTGGGCATGGTTGAACACTTGCGGCGTGAATTATCCTGGGGAATGGTCCCTCAGCCAGGTCAAAACGACTCGGCCAACGAATCCCACTGTACTTCATCCTCTTCCTTCGAGGCTTCAGCAACGGAGCTTAGTAAAACCATTATGACCTCAATCAAAGCAGTCGAAGATCTAGTGCTCGGCGTGTATACACATACCTCCCTATGGCACAAGTCATTGCGTACAGAGAGAGATGCAGTTACTGCGGCTGCCATCAATCTCAATCTCACATGGTACACTGCAAAAACCGAGTTGCGTAACACTATTCAAACATGGAGCGAAGAATCGATTTCCCCATCTGGCTCAATTGTTCCTTCGCATCTCCATCATCAGTGCCTGTTCGTAACATCATTGTTACAGGCAAGTGATCTTATCATCATGAGCTAAACACGTCAATAATGGAGTCAGATGGCCTACGACATGAGCCACATACTGCAAGTAGCTCAGAGCATTGCCGCACATCACGAAGTTTCTCGATTTCGCTTCTGGCTCCCGCGATTGACATGGCAATGGCTTGGCGTTGCGCCCCGAACTTTCATAATGGAGGAATATGGGGCACCTATAACCGATGATGCTTTCGAAGCAGAGACAACACTATCAGCTGAGGAAGTCCGTCAAGGCGTTGCTTTTGTCGATCGACAGGATGAGACAATGAGTCAAGAGTTTTCCTATTCCCATGCCACCAGAACCATACCTATTGTCCCACACTTATCACTAAAATCCCTCCCACAATGCTTGTCGGTGACACTGCAACACCTTTGGAATCATCGCGCCATACTTCAGCTTCGACTAGGAGCATCAAGAGTAATCTGCGACATGCAACGTTCCAGTCATTTGCAGCATGCGACAAAAAATGCCATTGGGGTGGCCATGTTAAGTTTTCCAGCTTTTCTTCCTTCTCACTCAGTAGGTTTGTCTATTCGCATCCCTGGTCAAGTATGCATTATCATGGCATCAATGTTAGGTTTTCAGTGGTTCAGGTGGATCCACGGCCAATGGATGATTATCAGCTACGTATGGGTCCTTGAAACCAATACTGGAGCGACCTGGCGCGTTGGTTACTTGCGTCTCGTAAATCCTGTTTGATCAAAAACTGCGATGACATGTTCATATATTTGATAGTCAGGGACCATTCTAGGAGCTATCTATGCTTATATTGTGCGTCCTGCGATACCATCATTTTCACGCGCTAACCGCATTTGCATAGACATGGGCTATCTGCGGGAGGAATTCTATTGGCATAGTGGCAATGGTTACAGTAAATAGTTCCGATGAACTGACACCACCCTGCATTTACTGACTAATGTTACCAGTTATTTGATATACCCATTACGTGGCTTGTCACGAAAAGCAGGATTCCGTCCTTGGGTGTTGTCGCGTAATGTCTCCGTTTGACTTGCTTTGCATGATGTTGATCGTTATCTAGCTCTGTTACGCTCCCTCCTATCGTGCTATACCAATACCTAACTCCGGATTCAGGAGTGTCTACACGAGGTATTGGTTTTTATACTCATGGGTCTGATATGAATATATCTTACGATTGCGCAGACTTAGCTTGGATGAGGGCCTCAATGATTGCTTTGGGCATCATCGCCGCGTTGGCAATGAATAGTATTGTCTTTCCTCGATACAGCCGAGTATGACAATGTTGTCTATTATCCACCGTATTTGCTAACATCCAGAAGGTGTTGTTTCTGAATCAGACAAGCACGACATTGCGATTACTCAGCCAGTTATATCTTCTCCTTGTACAGTACGTTATCCTCCGTTCATGATGTGCTCCTCCTAAATCAATTCTAGGGGGATGTTCCGGAGTATATACCCATTTACGCCGCACGACAAACAAGAGACGTTAAAGTTAGAACTTCAAATTCGTAATGCGCTTCATCGATCGTCGTCGCTGCTGACTACCATGAATGACGAACTCAGTCTAGTGCCGGTAGGGTTGAATACGCGGTTCAATTTTCAGAATTAAATCGTCCGCAGAAACCAATGCGCCACTACCGCGAAGTTGTCCTCAAAATACAGAAGATTCTTGACTTGATGACTGGTCTTAGAAAAATACGGGAAAATATACCCCGAAAGGAGACTATCGCGTCAGTCATGAAAGAACGGAAGGAATTTGTATGTACCAACGAACTCGGCTGCTGAACTGCATCAGACGCCCTTGTCAGATATCCTGTATCTGCATCTCGCTGTTTGCGTGTCAGCACGTCTTTCAAGCTCGACAACCTCTACCGCAGTTCCTCCCATCTGCGAGACAAGCACTTGAAACACTCGAATCAAGAATAGAAGCCTCTCTGCGACGGGGTATTGACGCGGATGTATCGGTTCAGGGTATCTCCCTGGCCTACTCAGTTGCGGAAGGTGAGGTCATGAAGGATATGGTTGATACCATAGAGGGTTTATTGGAGCTGTGCCGCCAGCTATTCGGGACATCAGCGTGGTTGACCCATACCTGGCCAGAGACAAGTGTTTACAACGCTGATGAAGGACCTAGTGAAGGATGGTTTAGTACAGTGGGACGCATGTAGAAAGGATACTATTTCATTTAGGGGCTTGTCATGTAGCATAGATGTGATTTTAAGGGTAATGGTAGCTAGAGTTATTGTGCCATTGCATGCGTCGCATGTAAATGTAACAAGGACGGAGGGAGAAGTGGCGTCACCACAGTTTACGCGTTGTTATTCGACCAAACAACACGATGTCAATAAATTCAAGTGACACGTCTTCTTTCTTTTCTCTATACCAAACTCTACTATGTCCAGCGTCTGCTGTCCATTTTCCAATCACCCTGGCCACTTCGGGGGACCATTCGCACCATTATGCTATCCAGACCACCATCGAGCTCATCGCTGCTTCCAGCCACAACATCCATCCTAACCGGATGAATAACTAACCCTAATGATTTTCGACTACGGGGAGAATACACTTCTACTTGCATGGACCACAAACAAGCGGCATTGTTCTGGGGTTGGGCCGCGTTACGAGGGTGGTCTTCCATGTACGCCTTGGGCGTTTGCCCGCTTGCTGCTGATTTCTCCTGCGATGAACTCTTTTGAAACCACCTTCATCGCCTCTTCGGAACGCGCTCGTAACCGACCATGGAATCACCTCCACTCACACAGACGCACAGACCTATGCATGTGCCGCCTCGGGAACCCTTTGCGTGACGTGTCTAGACGTCACGCACAGAAAGCTAATAACTTTCGTACGTCTGACATGGCTGCGGTCAAAGGGAAGGTGGTGCCGGGAATGCTTCGGTTCATGTCGTGGGCAGAGGTTGAACCACGGAACGAGTGCTAGAGAGGTGTCGCGGGATTTTATTTGGTGACCTTCAAGAGAAGGAGCGGATTACGCACCGGTTCGCATTCTGTGGTTAACTGCCAGTGGCGTGCATCCTGGGCCACGCACAGATTTCTGTAGAGATCAATTTGCCCAGGGCCGCTTTTGGAAGACCGGTTATCTTGACTTGCGCCTTTGCCTTCACCCCTTGTGGTTCATATTCTTTAGCAGGTCAACGCACATGATTCCCGTAGCCCGAGTCTTTGACTCTTTCCTCGAGTTGTGTGTGGTCTCACTGGGATCACCCGCTCCTCATACTCGGCGTCTTAGAATTTGCTCGCCGTGAGCAATGTTTGTTTTCTCTGTCGTCCTTTGGAACGGGAAAATGTGCATAGCATCAAAGCGCCGGCGTGCGCAGCAAACATCCTGGCTTCACGGTGATCTGCGAGGTGGAGCCTGGTCTGGAATGCACTTGGTCGCGAATGTGGTACGAACAGGAAAGGGATACTAAAGACTTTCGGCTAGAGCGTTATGGGTGCAACTTTGCTGTCGTCCCCGCAGCTTCGGCTCCCCTACCCTACATGTCAGAGGCATGCTACGGAGTTGCCGCGTATGATTAACTTATTCCACATTTTAACGCGTTCTGTGACTGTATTTGTGATGCTGCTGACCGTTGTCATTCTGAAGGTTCAGGTTATGTTCAAGGCCATTCGCTCGAAACTGACTTATGTTGGTGGGATCATCGCCAAGACCTGATCTGTCGAATGCGCATCTGCTTTTTCAACCATCCTTCGATTCGCCGGTCTGTCCCTCGTATCCATGTTCGTCCGCCCTGTGGGTTACTTGGGATCTCTATTCGCAAGTTCAACTGGTTCGATCCTGTCTTCTTTCGTCTTTAACCATGGGTTTGGCTCTCACACCTCAAGTCTACTGTCATTCCGCTGCATCACCCTTCCTTCGGGATCAGTGACAGAGACTTATTCTCAAGTTCAGCGGTGATGGGATGGCTTTTTGGCGTGCATGCTCCTTTCCCAGATGACAAGATTACACACGAGACAGGTAGATCTAGAAGGATCATGTTGATGGCGGGTGAAGGGCTCATGGAAGCTGTGACTGCCTTGGTTTACTGCGACTGGCGTACGGACAAGAAGGTGGTTGGGAAGTTGTCAGGAGTGTGTTCCAGACCTCGAGCGATAGCTGAGTGATCAACGACCTACTCTGGATTGGATGCGACTTCCGCGACGCACGTTGTGGAGACGGTGATGGGCGATGGGCGAGTGTGGATGGGCGGTCCGAGTTGTGCAAACGACAAGGATAGTTCAAGAAGTGGCTAAGTGAAAGTACGTGTTGCCACCCTTCTGGCGCGGTGCGCGGCGGTTGGGATTGATCCGAGCGGGGGAAGCTTTTGCTTCGAAAGTGGATGAGTCCAGCCCTTTACGGGCGCTGTGGGTTAGCGGCGGTGATGGCAAGTGGCGAAGGTTGATAACCTCGTGACCCATGGAGTCCAACAATTTTTTGCATACCTCCCCGTCTTCGTGATGGTTTTCTTTAAGAATGTTTTCATTTGCGGCATTCAGTCCATCGCTATTCTGGGCAATTAGTTTACACTGCAATGTGTCCATTAATACAGATGTCCACAAATGAGATTATCTGATAGATGTAATTATCATATAGCATACCCATACACTACTATGTCATCGCTGTGGCTGTTGAAAGGCAACTCGTGCACCTCATCCTTCTTGCAAGAATAAAGCTTGTCTGACCGTGTGAGAACTTGCGCTGGGGTAGGTGGAGTGACAGTCATATGTATAATAGGAAAGCCCTTGGTGGAGGCAAGACCAACGACTGTCGGACGGGAAGGGGTGATAGAGACAGTTGAATCGTCGTCCGTACTCTCCTTGCTCCGGGGAAATCTCGAGAACGAGTGGCAGGCGTAGCGATCGTTGTGGCGACGGATACACACGATGACAAGCAAGAGTATGCCGAGGATGGTGATCATGACCATGAGGACAAATATGATCATGACAACGGTACCTTGAACTGTGTAAACATGCGTTCCATATGTTTGACGAGCGGGTGCTTACCGAAGCTTAACTTTGAGACAGACGCAGACATGGATGAACAACAGATCGTTCTCAGCAAGAGTGGTGACAATGAGAATAATGAGATGGACGTCAACGATTGTGCGTAAAGAAAAGAATGCAAGGCGAGTAACAGATTTTGTAACGTTGCAAAAGTGATTTGTTCATTGTCAGTACTAAAGGCGAATGCATATAGGGGCTTGGTCTGATTCAGAATCTCACGTTGTTGACCTTTATTTGGAAGTGGCTGGCAATGTACTAGTGCTTGGTACATTAGTGACAACAGCACAGACGTGCTCATCTACTTAATTATTTTTTATTTCTGGATACCCTTTCCCTTGTCTCTGCAGAGTCGACGGGCTCAGCCCAGTAGAAACGTCCTTAACAATGGACATAGTATTTGGTAGGAAGAAAGGACGGCCCCGCCAGTCCTCGGTTACAGGTCGTGATCTCTCCGAGCATTCTATTCCCTATGACAAGCTTGCTCCTGCCTCTCTGGTCCCAATGCCTGTCGGAACCGTGTCTCAAGGCTTGCGGGGTACATCTTCAAATCCAGTTATTTCAGCTCCCCTCACAAACCCCACTCTTACTCACAATGGGACCGAGATGAATTATAGTCACTTCACTGCTTACCAGCGCAGCAGACTCGAACGGGATCGAACCAACGTTTCTCGTCCGGATTCTAGTGTTAGTGCAGCAGACTCCTTCACTCTTTACAATGATTCCGTGGCTTCGTTCACCACCGGAAAGCGACCCAAGACTCCCACCCATAAACTTCGCAGAAGTGAAGCATCTGGTTCATCAGGCAGACGTAGTCCGAATGGCGCTGATTTTGGCTCAATTCCTCTCCCATCTTCACCGGCCGTATCTCATTCTTCTCTTCGACCTGGCTCCTCTATGCCTTTTTCATCGGAAGCCGAGCGCGCCTCTCGCTTCTCAAGTTCCGATACTCACTCCAGCCATCTATCGCATTTCTTCCATAAACCTCATTCAAACCAGGAAGAATTTGTCCTTCCCCGGCCAGACAGAGATGAGGACATTGAGGCTCTCTTTGAACACGTATCAGCGACTCGCGACCTCCCTCCGGTGAACAGCCTCACCATTGAACAGAAATGGCAGTTGGTATATGGTGCAGAACAATTACGATGGCAGGAGGAAAAGACTCGAGAGGAACAGGCTCGAAAGCAGGGTGATTCAAGTACAGCAGGCTCTCTTGGCGAGGGAACACCAGACTGGTATATTAGGAAGTTCCTCGACAACACCATCACTGCAAAACAGGCCTCAAGTGTTTGGGTATCTTTAAAGAGTCATGAAACGAGGTGGGAGGTTAGCCTTTGCGGTGTAATTTCTGATAACCTTGGTCTGTTTAGTTGGCTTGAACGCTTCATTGAGCTGCAGGGCGCATCTGTATTGGCGCAGGCGCTAATGCACATAAGCCGTAAGGGTTCCAAGAGGTAGCACCGTTATTTTAAATTCAAATCCATCTATTGAAGCTTCCTATAGGCTCCCATCTGACACCCACCTCGAGGGTGAGATAGCCAAGTGTTTGAAGATTATCTTTAACAGCGCCGTATGTTTATTTTTCATTTGCTCGTCATGGTTCATTGCTCAGATTCTCCCGGGTGCTTTAGTCTAGAGTGCGCGACGCTATAAAGTTGAATGGTGTCGTCACTCAAATCGCGTCTTCTCTCAATTCACCTCATCTCCCAAATCGCAAAGTGATCTGCGAAGTTCTCCTCTCTATCATTTACAACGGTACAGACCCTCTTTCATTAGTATTTCCAGCTTTAGAAGCGCTTAGTGGCGCCAATGGCGAGACACACGGATATTATGATTATTGGTTCAGGTCTCTTGAGAGCGCGCTCCTGGGCAGGGGCAAGATGGGGAGTCTGGTCGGAGCTAGCGAAGAAGTTCGCAAAGGCGCCGGACATGACAATTCCCTCGCAGATTATGCAGTAAGCATGCTTTACTTGCGCTCTAGCTAGAATATTAATTTGTCTCTAGTCAACCAACCTTTTCGTGATTGTTCATATTTTAGACGCCATAGAAGACTTGGACGTACGGTTGCACCATCGCTCGTTAATGGACTCTGCTGGTCTTCAGCGTATCATTGCTCTATGTCACGAGATTGGTACTGAGCCCATGGAAGCACAGCTTGCGGAACTGCAGGAAATACTGAAGGAAGATGAGCAAAAATTACGGGAGCGGTACGACCAGCAAATACTTCGCGATCTCAATAGCCCTGAAGACATTTGGAATGCCCTTCGTCACAAAACGGAGAGCACAGGCGCCAAGGAGTACTTCCTCTCTATGATGCGGCATCTACTACTTATCCGGGAGGAAGGTCCTGATATGATGCGCCTCTATCAGTTGTTGGACTCGCTGGTCACGGACGTGGTCATGGACGGGAAACTTGCTTCCGCGGAGAAGAGACTTGGGCACACCGTTCAACGGATTATTGGCCAGCTAAATGATGCTCAGCGATATCAGGATGCCATTCAAGAGGCTGCTGAAGCTCGTTCTCAGGCTCTGGGTCTGAAGCTTGAGAAGGAGGCCCTTGAAGAGGAGATGTCACAAGGTTCAGACGGTCTCGTCGGCCATCTTAAGGCACAGGTCGCTCTCCTCGAACAGAAGCTTGGCTCTCACCGGGAAACCACGAAGCGTCTTCAAGGACAACTCGAGACGCAGAAAGCCGGGTATGAGGAACAAATAGCTCAACTGGAAGCTCAGATCATGGAACTGTTCAGAATGCTGAGGGAGGTTGGCAAGGGTTACGAGAAAATCCTCGACTCTAGTTCTGGGACCATGGACCGGAAGACCTTAATAGAGACCCTGAACAAGCATCTCGAACGAACCAAAACCATCAGCATCCTCGAGGGGCGTGGTAAGAAAACGAAAGATACCAAACAGGAGGACGGTGAAAGTGACGAAAACGACCAATTGGATGATGACGCCACTCCTCGGAAGTCTGATGTCCAACGGGGCGCCAATGGTTCAAGAGGCCGATCGCAACATTCGAAGGCTCCCCGGATATCTGGAGTCCTCAACGGTCACGAGTCGCAATTCATGGATGCTGACGAAGCAGATGAACGGGCACAAATCAACCATCAGCTTGCAGCGAATGCCAAATTTGTATGATCTTTTCATTAGTGACGCTTGTAAATGCTCATTGGTATTGTACAGTTATCGCCTGAAGATGGTGTTGTCGCTAGTCCTCGCAGTATTAATCGCTCACCTAGGCGTACAAACCGTCTGATACCAGGCGATGACACACCATCACTACCCCGTTCACATCGCGCTAATAATCTTCTCGCGCCTCGGTACGATAACACACTTGATTACAGTGATAACGAGTCATCACTCCGTGAAGAGCTTGATGCGGAGAGCGAATTTGGTCAATCCACACGCAGTGGATTCACTGCTTTCACCGATGATACCCAACCTACCTCTGTTCACTCGGATGGATCTTCGGAGGCCTCTCGTGGACCCACTACTGTGTCCTTCACTGAACAGCTTGCTAGAAAACTGCAATCCCGGGGTCGAATACCACCTGTCTCGGAGGGTAGTCCAACGCCATCTCTGCTTGCCTCCCTCGCTGAGGAATCTGACGTCACAGCACCTCCTCCTCCTCCTCCTCCTCCTCCTCCTCCTCCTCCTCCTCCCCCTCCACCGCCTCCTCCACCAGTACCACCGAAAGATGATGACCAATTTACCTCGTCAGCTGCTCCTCCGCCACCACCACCACCACCACCACCACCACCACCCCCTGGATATCTTCCTCCTCTTCCAACTTTTCCCAGTGCCCCACCCCCGCCGCCTCCGCCGCCACCCTCTTTCCTGAAGGGTGCTACTTCTGCCCCAAGTTCTGCATCTAGTTCAGCTCGAGCATCCATGTTCCTCAGTGCAAATCTCAATGTCCTACTTTCTGCTCGCAAAGATATGCCATTTACACCTAGTGCCAAGATGAAGCAGTTACAGTGGGACAAGCTTCCGCAACAGCAAGTCGGCAAGACCCTTTGGAAAGACGAAGAACCTGAGAAAGAGAAAGAAATGCTCGCCAAATTACAATCTGACGGAGTGTGGATGGAAATGGAGGAGGACTTCAAAGCCAAGCAGTTGATGATCAATCTTATGGGTGTGTTATCTTCATTATTTCGTTATTCTAGTTGACAACTCTCTCCCTCCTGGGAAAGCTCGACAGAGGCAAGCCGAGTTGAAGAGTGTCCTTGACCCACAGACGAAGAAACGAGTTGGTGAGTCCTTGGAGTGCCAGAAAATCCTGGAAATACCACTCACATATTCTTTTCCAGAGATACTTATACAGCGGGTGAAGAAGATGGAACCCGAGGAAATTGCCCGCCGCATACAGCAATTCGATCAGGAGATGTGCTCCGAAAACTTCTTGAGCGAACTCAAAGGCGTCCTTCCCACCCCGGAACAGGTGCGATTCCTATTAAATACTCGGGCTTTGGTGGTTAAGTCATGTTTAGATTGGCAAACTCAATGTATACCGTAACGCTGAGCCTGAGGAACTGGCTGGATTACACCCTTCCGACCGGCTCATGGTCAAACTCATACAGATTGATCGTCTTGGTCCCCGCATAGAGGGGATGCTTTACAAGTGCAAGTTCGAGGAACAGTGGCTGCTCCTGGATGACGTATGTGGTTGTTCATTGGGCATTTTAAGTTATATTCACCACCATCACATAGGGTGCAAGGAAGGTGAGCGAAGCAGGAGCTGCTTTACTGCATGCCAAGCATTTCAAAGAAGTTCTGAATGTAGGTCCTGAGCGCAAAGTGTTATTTTTGCCTAACATATATATATTAGCTCATACTCATGATCGGCAATTACATGAATGGCACAGGAATCAAGGGAGGTGCCTTTGGTTTCAAAGTGAGCAGTATTAACAAGGTATATCCCTCTCTTTTGTTCTCTCGACTTGACTTAATCTCACTACAGCTTGTTGACACTAAATCCGTCAACAATACCACACTACTGCACTTCCTCGAGCGGACGATTCACAAGCATTTTCTGAGCATGGAAGAGTTTTTAGACGAGCTCGCCAAACCCGCAGAAGCTTACCGAGGTTTGCACTTGCTGTACAACAAACCTAGATTAACTGACATAACTCACCTCAGTGAATACTCAGGATATCCGAAAGGATCTTGCCGAACTTCGCGATGGTTTGAAACGTATTCGCCAAGAATTGAATGACTATCATACCGACCTAGCCCAAAATGATGGGTTCAGCAACCAGATGTGGACCTTCGTCGGAAAGGCAACGTCGAGGCTAGAATATCTCGTCGACGATGTAAATCACGCGGAAACTACTTTCACGGAAGTGGTCAAGTATTATGGCGAGGATGAAAAGAACATTACATCACCGGAGTTCTTTGCGGTTTTCAAAACCTTTGTCACTTCTTACAAGGTCAGTGACCCTGACACGTTGGTGCAACGGGATTACCTAGCATTTTACAGAAATGTAAGATGGAGAATCAAACCGCCGCTGAGGAGAAGGCTGCGGTTGAGAAGCGGAAGCAAGCTATGGCAGAGACAAGGCAATTGCGCCAGAATGCCAAGGATGCTAGCATACGAGAGGAAGATGAGTTGGTTCTGGACAATCTACTGGAGAAGCTGCGCAGTGGAGACACAGTTACACGTCGCGCAAGAAGGGCTCGTCTAAAACCGGACGCTAGACCTCTCGTACTTCCACTTGACACCACCGTCGACGTTGCGCGAGATATGCTGGCCGCTCTCAAAGCCGATGGCTTCGGGACGGTGTCACCTACTGTCCCTTCTGTGCCACGACGGCGGACGAGGAGAAGGACTGACCTCGGTGGTGTTGACTCACAATCTGCCCTGTCTCCTACAGTAAGCTTACCAGATCTGCCCAGCCCAGACATAACAGTGGACTCGAATTTTTCGGATGTGCCATAATTCCTCCGTCTGCCTTTATTAGATGTTTCTTTATCTGTATCGTATCTCTTTGCTTTAGTCTCGCTCACCACGCAACTCACTGAAGGACTGTTTGTTTGTCAATGTTGGATCCGATCAAGTTCGACTTTCAGAATTCCAAGTTCTGAACCATTCTCTTTATAACTCTACATACTCCATATATAACATACCCTTCGAAAATGATACCTTCCGCTGGACGCATGGTTTTCTCTCTGCTGCTTCTCACTTCGCCCCTCGTGCATGCAGCTCAGTCCGACAACACGACTCTAGGAATCGAAATTATCCGCGCTCATTTTCAAGGGGCTGGTCTGGTGCCATACTTGTTGGCGAACTTTACTCCTACTGCGCTTCTGACCGCAACGTACACTGGCGGCGGTATCGTGACCCCAGGTCAACTTCTTCCAAAGTCTCGTAAGTGAATTGTGTTTCGCCGTAGGATTTGTTCATCCCCGTGTCAGGGACGCAAACTGCCCCGAACCTTACTATCACGCCGGTCAATATGAAAATCTCGTTGAATGAGAAATACACTCTTGTGATGGTGGATGCCTGGGTTCCAGGACATACTGACCCGCGGGGTCAGATTTGTCACTGGGTTGTCAATGGTGTGACCGTACAAGGTACGGATATGCTTCCAATTGCATCTGATTTTTGTGGTTTACATATTGTCTGTACAGACCACTCTGTATTGACACATGCAGGCGTGGAAGTAGAACGGTACAGGGGTCCAACTCCACCGTCAGGGAGCGGACCACACCGGTTACTACTATTTTCTTCCTTAAAAGGAAACTAACTCTGATATCCCTGCAGTTATGTTATCTTACTTTACGCTCAGCAGTTTCCAACCGTCTCTCCGCCGCAGGGGTCCAATACCCTAAACAACAATCCAGGATTTTGCCACCTCGCGGATTATGTTAAGGTGTGGTCGCTTTCCTCATATGTAGATCTATCATTAACACAACGTTCATAAGGCTTCGAACATTGGACCTCTAATTGCCGTTTGTATTCTGCTAGTAATATATCTTCTGTTACTGATTATTTGATTAAGGGAACCTACTTCACAGTCGAGGAAGGGGTGGCTACTTTCACGCCCTCTCCTACATCTCCTGTTGTGACATCTACTCTGCTGGCTTCAGGGTCTAGTGGTCCGTCCGCGTCAACTACCGGTTCAGTAGCTCAGCACAATGGCGCATTCTCGTCATCAGGCAATTACTTGACTATCTTACTCGCGCCCTTCTTGTGGCTTCTAGCGTTATAGTTACTTTTTACTTTTACTTTCACTTTCACTTGGTCACTCGATGTGTACAAATCATATGAATCATAAATTATCATGAGTAGGGACAGGATATCCAAGCTGAGATGCGTCTGAGAGAAACGCGGCCACTAGCTTCCAAATCTTTCTCTCGCCTGTAGGGTATTCAAATGAGTACCAAGGCACCATGTTGTATATTGATTTTGGCCGAAAGTGACTACACTCACCGCATCCTGTGCCATGTGCACATAACCAGCATAACCATCGGTATACTTCCCTAACTCCCTGCCTTTGCTGGCCCCCAAGCCTACTCCTTGTGCATAAATATTTGTCTGACTGGAGTTACACGTTTCAGTAGGGCCTAGCCATAACATAAGTAATACACACATTGGATCCACCCTGCCTTCGCCATCGGTGCCCAGCCCAGAACCTTCCTTCCAACCCATTATTTTCAGGAGTTTGTTGCCGACATTTGCTTCATCCTGTCCAGGATTGACCACTGGTGGGGGTGAAGGGGGCGGGGGCGGGCCTTCGACTTGTCGTCTCTTCTTACCGATTGTACTGACAATATTGTCGGGTAAAGGTACGTCAGGCTGGTTATGCATAATACGTCGTTCTGATGCTCGATCACGATATTTGGGTTGCTCGGGAGCCTTGTCAGCAGTCTGACGTGCAGTTACAGCTTTTTCCCGTGCGACGTCTCTCAGATTAGCGTCCTTGAAATTCTTCTACACGACAGAAAAGATGGATTGCAACGAGAGAAATCGTTAGCTCACTCTGACAATATTGCATTAACAAGAGGCGCGCCTTGTGAAGACTGGATTCCTTATTGTGACGCTTCAATTGATCAAGGCTCTTGAACTGCCTGGCGCAAAGCAAGCATGTCATAGCAGTGGTATCGGAGAACTCGAATTCGGTTTCAACAGGTTCCGGAGAAGGTGCTCTGGATGGTGCTGTTGAGACTACAGTCGACATCACAACAGCCGGGGGATTGGCCTGTGGAGTCTAAATGATCAGTTGCTTGTTCTTCACATCACAACACATCTGCAAACCGGTGCATGGGCATTCGGGCCATCCTTGAGTTCTTCTTGAACCTGATTCCATTTCTGGATATTGCTGACGGTCTGATACGAAGACCGAAAATCAATTTTCTGATAAATCCTGCGGGAACGAACGAACCTTCTTGCTTGTGATGAGCGGAGCGACCATCTTCGACGCTGTCACTGCCACAAGACAAATGTCAATTCCTATACTCAGATAATTGCAGACAACATATGAAAGAACCTTTGTTATCTTCTGTTGAGGTTGCCGGCTCCGCGTCATCTTCGTCATCGGCGAAATCATCAGCAGAAAATCCCAGTGACAGCTGTCCCGGAGCCTTTGCAGTCGATACATTGAGCTTATTTCCAAGGGCACCTCTGTTGAAATTGAGCGTGACAGGTTTATCCGAGATAGGCAATACTGAAGGCGCAAGAGGTTTGTGCAAGGCATCATCTAGTTCCCCACTTAATTAGTGAGAGAAAAAGGAGTATTTCGTTGGCGCACCTTTCTTCTTCTTTTCCTTCTTCTCTTTGACAGGTCCAGTTGAGGGTTGGACCTGGGGTTGCGCAGGCTCTTCCACTTTGAATTCTAAGACAGCGACCATGGCAGATTCATCCCAGTACTTTACAAATGCGCCTTCAACACCACCCAGGTTGACGGACGACGGAATTGCAGTTTCGTCGCGCAGCATATGATCAACTGGTTGGAATGAGTATTGATGAGCAAACGAAGCGGCAACAGGCTTGTCAGAGATTCGAAAGCCTGAAGGATGGATCTGAGGAGACATGCTAGTAGCCAACACTGAAGCTGCGGACTGTAGAAGAAACCAGGATCAGATACTAATGTTGTATCACTCTTCGTCACGTTACCTGATTGTCGACAAACTCAACAAATGCAAATCCGAAGCTGGCCAATGTGACCCTATCTTTGATGAGGATAATGCGTTTCATGCCTTTAGCTCCATTTTTCCCGGGACCTGCTGAGTTCATCATGGCCTGAGCAATCGCTTGCGGTCCCGACAGCGGATCTAGACCACGGAAAAGTAGCACTGGCCCTTGGGTATTGCCAATGTCACGCGTGCCGTCGTTCATGTTCTGGCGACCACGAGCTTTGTCAGGCAAAGCACTTTGCGAGTAGTCGATCTTGACCCGTCGACCATTGTGGGGAATGCCGGTCTCAAGGGCCTTATAGAATGTAGCTGTCGCTGAAGCGCCGTGCGAAGCGGGTGGAGGGACCTGAATAAACGGGAAAATGGGATCCACAAATGCACGGGCATGTTCAACACTCGCGAACTGGGCAAAGCCGAAGCCCTTTGAGATACCTTCAAAAATTCAACGGCCACAAACGTCAATGCACGGTATGAATATGAATACGAATGGGCAAGTGCCTGTTGATCTGTCTCTTATAATGGTGACCGTTTCAATGTTGCATCCATTGTTGGACAGGTATGCCTGCAGCTAAAGTATAGCATAGATTCAGCTCGGTACTCGAAGATATGTAAAGCGCGTCGACAAACATCCGCCTCAGAAAAGTCAGGATCCAGTCCTAGGAAGATGACGTGGGGACTGGGTTCGCTAGGGACTAGACGCTTTTTTCCTTGAAAGCCTTTCTGGTGCTTGTCGTCGTGAGACTGATCGTGTGCAAAGTCCTGTGGTCTGCTCTGAGACTGTTGATTGTAGGAGGCCTCATAGCTGTATTCTTGGTAGACATTGCTCGTGTCGTATCCCTAATGAGCACAAATGAGAAAAGGCATAAGTTTAACAGAAGGACCACGCACGCCATTGTTAAATTTCCTACGCTTCCCATCCCCGTAGTCATCGTCCCTTCCTCTACCTCCTCTGTCAGTAGCCCATGCCCCACTGTCACCCCAGTTATCCTTTCCTTTATCCCAGTCACGGTTATAAGCCATGGAATAAAAAGAGTTGACACAAATTCCCTTGAAAAACGATGAAAGTCAAGAAGCAAAAGATATTCACGAGGAACCACGCAGCACACAGAAACGCTGCCAATAAGCGCAGCCAAACAAGCCACAACAGCACCACTCCCTCAATAGTACGACCATGGCAGTACCCAGTGAGCAGTTCATAATTTAACAATGCTTGAAGATATATTGACAACTTCTAAACGAATCAAGGTTTTTTGAAGGTTTGGACGTACTCTTGAACTCAAGACTCATCCTCTAATACGCCCTCTAGGTCGATCCCGCAATTGAAAGATGGAATCGTATGGTCAGTCGGGTTCAACCGCGTGCCTCTCTCTGTCTTTTTGAAGTTTCCTCTGTTTTTAGCGTGAAGATGCGTATAAGCATTTCAGATTTACTCCACGGACAACATGGGTCACGATGTGTGGGTTCGTACTCGTGCCTGGAGCGATCTATTACCTGGCAAGCAAAACACACGTACACTGCTTCCTTTACATTCATTGCATGATTCACTGATGTCGTTATTACAGTTAGAATGGAACTGGGCAGGCAAGAGAAAAGGGGAGGCATTGGCACAGGCGTAATTTTCGACCATATCGTCTGTGTAGCGCGTCCTATGAGGTAGATACATCCCATTTACCGTCAATTATGTCTCTATTTCTATCGAAGCCAGCATGGTTCAGAATCTCTTGCATAATTCTATGGCCACCTTGCAACCACCAGCGACAACTGCGCTAAGTAGTGCATGCGCAGGGGCTCGCTGAGAGTGATGCTCAACAGCGATGTCTAAGTGCTCTAATTCGTCATCTCTAAATTCTTTGATAACGTCCCTCAGAAGTGGGATGCTTGGATGGGATGATGGCAACAACTCAAAGTCTTTCAGTTGGCTGAATTTACTGGAGCGTAAGACTTGCGGATATGATAGCTAAAAACAGGGACAAACTCATCGTAGTGTTCTCCTATGACAGTCTCTACTGCCTCTGTGCAAGCCATGGCTGCTTCTTTGCCCATGAGGGCTGTCGCCGCTCCGAGTGCATAGCCAGTAACTTTGGCGACGTCGGACAACAATGTCGGTCGTACCTCATGTTGCAGCTGTAATTTGTCCATCACTTCTAAATGTAATTTTTCTTGGTCCCACATTTCCTTCCGCCAGAATAAGTTGGTTGGGCATAGTTGAATTGCTGTTTGAGATGCTCACTTGAATCAAGGGTCCAACTCGTGGGTCGCGGCCAAGGACAGCGAATTGTCCTCGATAAATCCAATTAGCCGCAATTTCACCAGCCTGATCCACGCGCAGTGCTCTATCCAGAATTTCCCGTTGCTTTGGGGAAATGTCGGGGGATGTAGAAACCCCAAGCTCCTGGTTCTTTGAGGGGTCCGTGTAAAAATCGGATGCTCTGCATGTGATGGTTCTTATCGAGGGCCGTAGAGCATTCGCAGCCAGGAAACGGCACCTCGCCAACATCTGTAGTTTCCAACACAGCTGCAGGCCAGCTGACGGCAGCACTTAAATAAGTTGTTACTTTCCACGGTCCATGGAATGGCCAGAAAAGGGAACAACCGTATCACAATCGAACGCGTCTTTCGAGTTGACCATCGTTCACAAACTTATAAAGATTTTGATATTGTTATATCTGCGCGATCGAAATGACCTCGAAGTAAGTGTTTGTGTAACGGCTATATCTCAACATGCTGCATGACTTCATACAGGTTTACCCCTTCGCAAGCTGTTGATATGTCTAAAGAGAAAGACTGGTCGATGAACCTCGGTATTTTTATTCATGGCTCGTCGTGAAACGCGCCCAACTTGTTATCATAGGGATGCTTGATTGGGATAACACGAGCATCGTCTTCACCAAGCGCAGCCTGGTCGAGTTCCTCAAGTAAGTGGCCTGTCAAACGTCTTCCTGATACCCGCGAGGCTCAGGATCCATCCAGATACACAGGGACTACTGTTGATACTGGCTTTAGCAATATTCAGAAACTGCCTCGTGAATAATCGAGATTATCTCCCTTAATGAGAAGTGCTCATTTGATTCACAGGATATGCCAAATTTGGCAAGCTAACGAGCACCGAAGAGGAGCTGCCTGGTGATTTTGGCATTTGTGACCTGGTTTTAGTCTTTGACAAAGTTGGAATAAACAGAGACAGCCACGAGTCCCACAATTTCTTCGTCAGAAATCAACAGACTTCTTGCGGAAGAATTCACAGATGATGCATTGTCCACTGCCCCGCCGCCAACCGCGACACAGGTGCAGTGACATTCAGATGCTCCCTTTGCCAAATTTAACGTAAAGCATTCAGCCAGTTCAAACTAGTTCTCCGGGCAGCCCGGATGACTTCAAGCCTACGAGGTATCGTAGACCCAACAGTCTTGTGGTACGAACTAATGCAGTCAACTAGACGCGTAAGAACGCAGCCGGGCGGTCATGACTCTATTGGCAATTTGTTCGGAAGCGAACCACCCCAGGCTCAATTTATTCCCACTCGCAAGTACGTGTTATTTGCTTCGCTGTCTTCTCCACTTATCCCAGCTACAGGGTGCGACAGCGTCCAGGAGGAGAAGACAACATCGAAGGGGTGAGCATGCGGCACAATTCGGTTCGACTTGTGTCATTGATTTCCTAGTAGCTTTTCTAAGAGTGATTTTTTTGCGTGGATATACCAAAACGAAATCGAGATGTACCAAAGCTGTTTTGTTGTCCAACAACCTGTAGCCATCATTATCATACTGTTGGTTTTTTATCTTTATTGTGAAGGCACGCGCACTATCGCGTTATTCTATGGGCAAGGATCAAAAAATATAAAATTATGGTAGCGGCGAGGTTCGAACTCGCGCGGACTTTCGCCCATTGGGATTCAGATCGGTTCTTAAATCCAACGCCTTAGACCAACTCGGCCACGCTACCAATCACCTGATGGCAATATTTAACAAGCTTGATCAGCAGAAAGGTTTACCGGTCTATGAGGCAAGCCGTCGATAAGTCTGGCCCAAGTTGTGTCGCAAAGAATACAAACTAAATTATATATGTAATTGTCTCGCTATTGACGCGGCCCAAACTACACGTGCGAATTCAATATGGGCCAATCTTAAATCTTCCATCTTTCTGAAAAAGCCGTTCAAGACTCCTCGTCATGTCACACTTTCGCCGACGTGTCACATGCGCTACACAACGTGACACGTGACATCTCTTTGACTGGCCGGACAGATAAGTATGATAATGGAGGAGCCTAGTAGAAGGATAGCCACATCAAGGTCAATGCTGTTCAAGCTATAACGTTGGAGACGACGCTATTCCTTCTCTTTAACTAGCATTATAATGTCTTTTCCGAAAACACAAAGCGAATGGCGAACCGCATTAGATGCACTTCCTTCTACCCCAGAGAAAATCCCTGCTTTCTTCTTTGGGCACGGGTCCCCGATGCTCATTGCCAGGCAGGTCACGAACTCACCCATAACAAGTACCATGGGCCCGGGGGGCGATCTTGCAATTTTTTTGCGTGATCTCGGACCAGTTTTGAGGGCCAAGTACAAGCCGAAGGGCATTGTAGTATTCAGCGCTCACTGGGAAACGATAGGGGTACGTCATGGTAAGGATTACAGTGTACTCCAAAGGAACCCTTAGCTGACATCAGGTTTGACAGTGACGGATTACGGAGATAGAAATCCTTTACTCATGGACTACTTCGGGTTTGAGCCTTATTATTATCAACAAACATTCGAATCCAAAGGAAACCGCGCCTTGGCTGAGCGTATCGTCCTGTTATATAAAGAGGTCTCTCAACAGAAAGTCATTCACTTTTTTCATACCAATTTTGATATGTCTGTAGGTAGGCGGAGAAGCCAAGCTCTTCGGCATTAGCGAGAACCGCGGATGGGATGGCCGGACTTCTCCGCCACGTCAAGGCCCGGGATTCGACCATGGGGTTTTTGTTCCTTTCAAGCTTATGTTTGGGGACAAGGTCGATGACGTGCCTATCGTTCAAGTATCCATCGAAAGGTCTGGTGATCCAGAACAGAACTGGGCGGTCGGAAAGGCCTTATCAAAACTCAGGTTTGTATCCGGGTTTTCTTTATATTCAAATCTTCTAGTAAGAGCCGACATTTCTGACGTTCTCTCATTCATAGGGAAGAGGGAATCCTCATCTTGGCAGGTGGTCTGACCGTCCACAATCTTCATGATCGAAAGCAATTTTCAGAGAAGTCAGCGTCACCCGACGTGACGATGTTCGATCAGGCAATAACAGTGGCTGCATCCAAGTCCCAGGTTTATACTACATACTCATCTCTTTTCAGAATTGCTCATTTTCATTCTTGACAGCTTGACGAACGGAAGCAGTCGCTGTTCGACCTCATGAAGCACGATGGTTTCGCGCAGGCGCATCCCTCTGTTGAGCATTTTGTTCCGCTGTACGTTGCGGCAGGCGCAGGTGAGGAGGGGGGCGTTCAGGTCGTCAGCGCCATTTACTCTGCTCCGACTATTGCATTCGGTATTTGATCATTTGCAGAAGAATGTACTTTGCATAGAAGCTACGTTACATCGCGAACAAGATGAGCATCAATATTCTAACTGGCATATGTAATGAAACACGACAATAAGAAATAAAACACAGAAGCCCAGGGAGCGATATGGCGACAAGAAAGGATAAAGTTCAGGTGCATACATTGATGCATCTTGCAAATCCGAGAGGTATCCTGGTACGTACGGCGAAAACATCCAATTAATCTTGATTGTTTGACATTTCTCGTCAACGAGTCTCCTGCATGACGCACAGGCAACTCTTTATGCTCCACCGCCATTAGACTCTGAGTTGCACATCGTAGGATCGCTCAGGCACGTCATGATATTAATATCGAAATTATATTTGCTCTTGTGATTGGCTATCCTCGTATTGATATCTGTTGTTTCTGGCATCGAGTTCGTGATCTCAAGCAACGGACAGCACGTTCTGGCTTTCCGCTTTTGACTTCTGCTAACTTCACAAGTGCAAGCTGCCACGATCGAACTCCAATGCTGCTGGTGGCACCCAAGGTCTATTTGCAAGAAGCCGATGACAACACCACAGATCACACGCTCATCCCGCTTGCCCATGGTACAGATGCCGTGACCTGTATGCGCGTCTGTAGGTCGTGGTTCACATTACAATGCATTAATTTACTGAATTGGCTTACTGACGGAACGGACCATCGTTCTTCAAAGATTTGAATCGATTTCAAACATTAGCCTATTCCGCGGTTCCGCGATATCTTGCCGCGGAGCCATCAGTCAACAGCAGGGATGCGGAAGGTGGCCGCTTCTGTAAGGTGGCTTGGTACCGGTCGGTGATTACTATGTAAGGCACCGTGCGCAGTGTTTCCACCTTAATTCCAGAATGTCGTTTCCGAAGACACAGAAATGACGAGCTGTGTTAGGCTCGCTCGCTCCTGCTCCAGAGCATTCTTCTTTGAGCATGGCTACCCTATGCTCGTGGCTGAATAGGCCAAGAATACAGCTATGGGATCGGATGGACGCCTTGCGAAAATTTTGGACCTGCTCCAAGGTCGAAGTTCAAGCTGAAGGGCATTGTCATATTCAGGCTTAGTACCCCTTGCGCTAACTCGGACTAAGTATTGTGTTCGGTATTTGATCCTATATATAGACTTGTTTTGTACTAGAAGCTGGACTATATTGCGAGATGGACATTCTAGTCCTACATAATGAACTCGGGAATGACTAATGATGCGTCATACACAAGCAACTCGAAAGCAATGAGATCCAGGAAAATTACGACAATGAAATAGAAGAAAAGCATATATTTTATCAAAGCCGGATATCTCCAGCAAAAGACCATATTCTGATGTCTCCGTCATCGCTACCAGAGATAATCTTGTCCTCACCAAGGCCCAAACATGTTACAGCGCCACGATGACCAACCAATGTAGCTGTACATCGGCCTTCCTCGCGGTTCCACACCTAAAAGCGGATATTTAAGTTTCAAGGCATATGATTATTCAAGAACAGGGCAGACCTTGATAGTACGGTCATGACTGCCGCTGATTAACCGCAGCTTATCGCTCGCTACCGCCCAGACACCTTCGATATGGCCGAATAGAGTCTGGGTGGCTTTCGCCGTATCAATGTCCCAAACCTTGATAGTGTTATCAAGGCTTCCAGAAATGAGCACCGGCCTCTTGGCACGTTTCCGATTGCCACCTGCCAGCACTTCCCTAGTGACACGATCAAGGCTCTGTATGTCCTCCATGCTCTCGCTGTTAGCATCGTGTGTAATGACCGTGCAAACTTCGAAGGGGTTAGTTGGGTTTCCAACTTGGGCGATATGGGCCATGTTACTGTCCGCAATGCGATGCTCTTGGCGACCGATGCCTTCATCACAGCGCTCGTCCACTTCCAGTAGTTTCAGGCTCTGCACTTGTCCAACATGTCCCGTGAACTGGCGCACGCATGTCCGCCGTGCAAGGTCCCATAAGCGAATGGTCCCGTCATCTGAGGCTGAAAACAATAGCGTGCCTTGACATATCCTTGGCTCACTACCCGATCCGCAGCCCATCTCAACATCCGCTGGGTCTTCAGACTCCCATAGCCGTACGGAATTGACCCAGTCACGGTGCCCGCGGAGCGTGAACGCTTCGCCCGTGCGGAAGTTCCACACCTTTACAGTGGTATCCACACTCCCGCTAGCAAGCACGTTGGAATCGAAGTTGAGACAAACGACACCCTCCGTATGCCCCTCGAGCGTACGTATGCACTCCCCACTTCGCCAATTCCACACTCGAATGGTGTGGTCCATGCTTCCTGTGATCAATTTCGCTTCATCGAACTGTAAAGCCCGCACAGCACGCGTATGTCCACGGAGGCAGCGTACCTCGAGGCCGGTCTCAATGTTCCACACACGCACAGTACGGTCGTACGAGCCCGTGATGAGGATTGGGAAAGAAGGATGCTGCAAGGTCTCATCGAACTGGAGACACATGACACCATCTGTGTGCCCACGTAGCGTCCGAACGGAACATCGCCCTCGACGCCAATTACGCTCGACTGATAAGCGCTCTGAATATACATCCTTCCAAGGCCGTGTGAACGGTAAGGCGTCGGGTATTTCGGAAACGAACAAGTCAGGGGTATGATGAGGTGGGAATGAAGGGGGAGACGACGATGGAGACGCGGAGTTCGTACGGACAGCACGCTTTCGTTCGAGAATAGGTAGCCCCCATCCACACTTGAGGCATTTTTGCCCAATGTGCTGTTCACATATTCCGCGCCATAGGACGTCGTCATCGGCTAGGCTTTTCCACTGCTTGCTCACCTGAGCAGCGCGACAAAGAGAAGTAGCGTCGAGATACGCAAGAACTCTGAGTGATACCTCCCGGGGAAGGACGGTGAATGGGTCAATGCGGATTAGCTGACCAAGCTGCTCCGTTAGCAAGGAGAGCTGAGAAAAACAGCACATAGTAAGAATGCCCTGGAGAATGAGTTCTCGCCTAGGATGTGATGACGAGGAGAAACCGGACCAGATGGCATTTACAGCTTCTCGCTCTTGTACGGGGAGAGCATCAAGAGCCTGTAGAGCTTAAATCAGCAGCCGAACAGCTCATCGTGCGATCAGCTAATCAGACACACCTGCTGTAGCTTCAAATTGGTACCCTCGTCTGCCATTCGCTGATGGCGAACACATAGTTTTCTCTGAGCGGTTGGAGTAGTATACATCTCAATGTCTGAGATTGTTGGGAGCGGAGATGAGCCGGAAGAAGAAGGCTCAAAATTTGAGAAAGGTGAGGGAGATCGCTTATGGTCTAGATCAGGAGTTAGGCCCGAAGCGAGACGTGGAGCAGGCAAGGTATCGCATTCAGTTGTTGAGGTCTCCATAGGTGAAAGAATGAAAGACTGAGGGATTAAATAATAATCTCATGCTACTGTTAATCGTGTCGAATGGAGTCAAGACTTGCCCCACTCGCGAACATCTCACGCAACATCACGCAACTCTAGCGTGTCACACCATAATAGTTCGTGTCACGCAATTTCAGCCAACATAAGCTCGGAGCCAGCAACAAAACATCTGCTCAACGACAGGCATAATAGTACTAGACATCATGTGTACAGTGGTACAGTGGTACTGAACAGACCGTGGAAAATCAATTCAACAAAAATATGACGTGAACACGATACAGAATCAATACAACACAGACAGGATACACGCACTCATCGATCAATATTATAGGATACCCACAAATCAGATACTACCCTCCTTCCTCTCAATCAAGCGTGATCTTAAGCTGATCCAGAGGTATTGGTACAAAAGTATCCAAATCGATCGACCGTGAGCGTAGCTCAGCCTCGCAGTGTGGCGGAACCAGAAGTCGGTTCAAGTCTGGTCGCACCGACAACTCTGTCATCAACTGGTCAGCGGCCGTTGACATTCGAAAACTGCTGACAATACCTTCCCGTGTGAAGTCAAATAAACGTGGAAATTCCTTCCCGTTCGGCATCCTTGCCCCCTCCACTCGTAGCTCGTCAAAGAATGAGTGCACCATAGCCTCTACTGCACTTAAACGTGCCCCCGGCGTATATTCCAGTAGCTTCGCAACCAAATCAATCGCCTCGGGCGCAGTGCGTGGTCGGAATACCTGTCGTACGTAAGTACACGAGGTAACAACGCCACAAAACGGCGGTGATACCTTGGAGAACGGATGGGGCTTGATTTGAGGGAACTTGTGCTCCATGTAATTTGGATTCATCGTCTTAATTTGTTCTCGCGATGGCGTCCCGAGAACCTTGATGATCTCCACCAACTGGTCGATACCACTCTCCCCAGGGAACAGAGGTTGGCCTAGCATTAGCTCCGCCATCACACAACCCGTCGACCATATGTCTAGAACAGCGTTACTCTCCCCCACACAGTACGGAATAATATTGTTACCCACCAATGTTTGTTGTGTAGTTGGTAGCACCGAAAATAAGTTCAGGTGCTCTGTAGTACCTCGAGCAAATGTAACTAACATTTGGCTCTCCAGCGACGAGGATTTTTGCTGAGCCGAAATCGCACAAATTCAGAACGCCCGTGGCAGGGTTCAACAGGAGATTCTGAGGTTTAATATCGCGATGGCAGATGCCCACTGAGTGTATGTAGGCAAGTGACCGGAGAAGCTGATACATGTACAGCTTGATTTGAAGCATCGGCATAGGCTGCTTCAACTTTGTGTAATGACGGCTGGCGCGGTAAACGGTGTCTGGAACGTATTCAAGAACAAGATTGAGGTAAACTTCATCCTTCTAAAAGTAAAGCTGAAATCAGCGCCAAGATGAGGAAAGGGAGATCTTTCAAACCTTTTCCCCATTGGAATAGAAAAAAGCTTTGAGGTCGACGACGTTTGGATGTGACACAAGTCTCATGATTTGTAGTTCACGATTCTATTCGCGCGATATCGATGATATCACGCCGACAAAAACCGTTCCATCAGCATCATCTTGAAAAGCAGTCCACATCACGACCAGCGCAGAAGCGCAATGTGACAAACAAAAAGAATTACGTACCTTGAATCGCTTGTCCTGAAGGACTTTCTTGATGGCTATATCCTCTCTATCCTTTGACTCTCCTACAAGTTTTGCCTGGTATACAACTCCAAAAGAGCCATTTCCAATGACTTTGCAATTTGTGTAGGCAATCTCCCTCTGTTCTGATGTTTTACCGTCTGTTGCGATGACCTTGACAACCTTATGGGGATCATCGATGGCTATTTGAGTAGAAATGTCGTTAGATGAAGATGACATGGATATGAAGGAGACAGAAGGAGGCAGTGAATGAGACGGGAAATGACGGGGAAGAATGACAATTACAAAAGAGACATAGCGACCAAATTTGGATGTAGAAAAGTGTGGAGGTTGATTGAGAGCACGTACGAGATATCTTAACACCATTTATTGGAACGTTGGAAGCCATCTGTGAAAAAGAATTGCTCCTTGCAGGAAATCGCACGTGTTCTTTGAAATCGGAAGGAACAAGTGGCACGACTGGTAGCGAGCGCCTACTTGATGTTGATGATGCGGCAGTACTGAAGCAATTAGAGCAAACTCGCGGCTAAAAAAAAAAGCAAAAGAGTAAGGGGACTAGAAGTTAGTGCTGGAGATGTTAACGAAGGCTTGTTGGGAGTTGAAACAATATATCGTTGATGGGAAGAAGAGAAGGTGAACGACCAGGAGAAAGGGTGACTTGAGATCCTGTGACCCCAATCATCCTCAGCGACTGCCAAGCAGACACAAACATTCACTTGGTCTTCAACGGCAAAATTCCTGGATTCAAGTTGTACAATAATGTCGCTCGACATTATCAACAAGTCATCAGTATTATATGCAATATCCTCTCTATAACTCAATTACAGCCTCATGCTCGTATTCCAGACTGAGTTGTTACAACGGCTCCCAGGACCCTGCCCGACAGCCCGAATCCCAACCTTAGCGTCATCACAAGGCGCTACTGAGAACTGCATTCACTTCAGAAGCAGTGTTTGATGCCATCAATGCCACCAGCGAATCCATGAATTCCACAGCATGATAACATTCGTGGCATCCTTTTCAGGGTACGTCAACCTGAGATTTTCATGTCAACATCCTCCGTTATGTTTGGACTCATCATCGGACTCGCATTCCGAGGCATACCAATTAGGCAATTTAGGGGTCACTACATTCGTGCTGTCCATGCGTAATGGGTCTGTGCGTCGACCAATGTTTCAGACCCCGTTATCGCAGCAGTGGCGCCTGACACATGACCGGAGACTGTATGTCACAGGCCCCGCTCACGGGTTCTACTTATTACATAGTCAAATCAAGGGTTTGTTTCCCGATAAGTAAGTTGGTTTGGATTTGTTCTTGACGAACCTGGCCGTACGTAACATCCACACAGCCCGTCTCATTCAAATACCGCGAATTTCCGCAGATATTTGGTCATCGACACGAAATGTGAAACACAAAGAAACGCTTCAAGTTCGCGGATCAGTGCTAACTGCCACTATCATTTTCTTGTCCTGTCATTAATCGAGGTATCGTTTTGTTGGTTCAATCATGTTGGCTTCGATTTGTCAGGGCTCCGTGTCTCTCGGATGACCCGGCCTCAGGATTATGGTGTGTACAAGCCATTTCAGTGGACGCTAAAGTGGCTCATTGCACCTGTCGATCATACAGTGATTCCTTGCAAAGTTCGCGTTGCTCAAAGGTAATAAGTCTCAGATTCAGAAAATGAAGTCCCTTATTCAAGGATGGAAGCTCAAAGGCTCCACCTTTGATGCGATTTCAGACACATCAGTCTGTCCATTTTCGTGGTGAATATCCTCCTTGAGAAGGGAGATTAGCTTTCCAAAGATGGTGTTTGTTTGGTCAATCCCCTGAGCACTGCTTGATAGAAATTTATTCCGATCTGTCACCCAGATAAGTTTTCACTGTTGACGAAGCCCACTTTGAGACATGCCTCTCACTAGGGCTCCCCCTTAAGTCCTTAAGAGATACAACAGCACCCTCGCAAGCCACTCCACTGACTCATCTACAGACCGACCATTTCAGATATGTCCTCGATGGAAGATGAGTAGATTCACAGGCTGTGCAATGTGATTAATGGCTGGGAGTGGCAGGGGGTAGATCCCTCCCATTCACGTGGACAGGTTGAGGCCTGCTGAACTTTTGAACGACGGAACTTCAAGTCAGGTGTGCCCCCGTGGCAAGGTTGCCCTCCGTTCTACGTTCCACGCATCACCATGATGCAAAGTCAGGGTATGTTTCTCCGTGGCAATTCAACATTCAGATTCATCGAACAACCCTGATACGCAGCCACTACTACAGTTGGCATTCAAAAACGCCTGGTTTTTCTCGGCCACTTCAACCTCCGAGAGGGTCGCGGATCGTTGAAGCACTTATCGTAAATAGCCTCACTACTATCATCATGGTGGGAAAGCCATATCGCCATGAATCGGGGGGCACTGTTTGCGATCGATTTTCAACATTTGTCCCTGCACAATCAGCTATGATACATCATGTAAGCAAGCATGTTGGAAGATTGTCACAATAAATCAAACTACACACTCCCCCTGCCCATACTTACCAACTTTTTATTGGGTTTCAATACAGGTAGGGTGCGCGATCGAAGTTGTCGGTAAAAGTGAGGACTAGCGGTGGGCTACGTTTGGCATACTGAAGACACTCAAACACATCTGTCGAACTCCAGTTAGTGGGAAAGTACGTCCAATATTTGACTTCATTCGTTCAAGATAAACACAGCAGGGTAAGGTCCTTGCACAATTTTCCCCTGTGAGTGTACAGCAAGGTGGGTAAATGAATGCAACGCGGCTTAAAGTAGTCAGATAATAGCTGCGGGACCACGAGAGCGACACCTCCTTTTAAACCGATCGTTGTATCAACCCATATCTTGGACGGTGCAACCAGTGTATGCGTGCATTCCTCGTGCGCGGTGTGGGGAGGTGAATTGTGATCCCACATCAATGTGAGCGTTTATTGACTGCTTGAGGACAAGACGATCGCCGTGCCGAGATTAGCATTGTCCGCTGCTCCAGTCGCACCGTCTTCCTACCGACCTTTATGAACCTGGGCCGTTAAACACGGGGAGTTTTACCTACGTGAAAAGTCGAGATGTTCCAAATCATGGGTGCTTAATATTCCAGTTGGCAAACACGCCCTCCACCGCGTTTTCAGAATTTCTGGCTTGTAGGCGCCTTTCTGTCTTTAAAAACGCGAGTGATTGGAGACAGCGAAGACTTATATCACCTCTATAGTCATGAAAGTCCCTGTAAGCTCTTTCCGCGAGGTTGCTGCGTCTTAGACTTACTGCCCTCTTCAGAACGTTTACGCACCTCGTAATGAGGATGATGTTGAATTACAATCCATGACCCCCGTCGCTCTAGATGACAACAACCAACTTGCTTTTGAAAGGTTTGTCCCCGAATCGATGGTCGTCTCATTCAACTCATACTGTTTCTAGCAGTTTTGACGATTTGTCCTGGCGTTTGCCTGGCTATGAACAGGATGACCCCTTGATTAACGGGCTCCAGACATATGTGTCGCAGCCTGCATGCGCACTGCTTGGCGAATACCGTTACGCTGATGCGGGCTTTCATATGATCAGCAACTTTCATCAGAACTTCATACGTGACGGGGAGCACCATAGACCCTCCTCGCTGTTGTCATCCGGTAGCGAATGGTTCCAGCACAAACACTCCATTCCAGAGCTTAATTTTCCCTTCCAAGACGCAGAAGGCAACCAACACGTCCATGGCTCACTTTCGCTGGCGAATGACTCGGATGGGCAAGGTCAGGTGCTCTAATTCAGAGCAGTGTATTGAACCTAATGATAGCTATTATGCAGATGCCGTGACCATTTTTGAAGATCCTCACGTCTCGAGTGCAGATGACTCCCACCATCCAGCCATTGTCGGTGGTGATGTGAGCGACAGCGGACCGACGCCACCCGCCACATCATCCGGTGACCCGAATATCCTTCGGTGTCAACACCATGTGCAAGGTCAACCTTGCGGAGTGCTCATCGAAGGAGGATTCTCCAGCGTCTTAAAGCACTTCGCCTACATGCACGTTCGCCCTCGCATTTACGCGAACGCAAGATCTGACCGTCCCGAGGAGTTTTGGATCTGTCGCTGGGGCGGCAAGTGTGACAGCCGCATTCGCAAGGAGGGCTTTAAGAGGCATGTCCTTGGTCACCTCGTTCGGTGGAAATGTTCCACTTGCTCGTCGACATATTCTCGAGATGATAGCGCCAGAAAACACGCCAAGGATTGTGGAGATGGTAGGATCGTCATGCTGCCGCGGCTGGAGGTTCGTCCACGACGGCTGTAAGAAGGGGGAAGAAAACCAACACACAACTCCCTTAGTGCACTTATATAAAGGGGAATTCTGGGAATTCTCTCGGTTGAAAGTTCCCATATATTTATAGCTCGAACCCATCAAGTCTTTGTGTATGTACGCAGATGGCTTGCAGTACTACTTACTATACTTACTCGACGAACGCAGCTGTTCGCTTCCTAATTCCTATTTCCATCTGTATCGAATCTCACAAATTCTTTTGAAAGCAGCTGGCTACAGTAACATGCGACCTCAACTTGGCAGCAAAGTGCAGTGATGGACCTACCGCAATTCATTCTAATCGGTTATCGATTTGCATCTATAGACTAGATGCCGCACTAGTGTGTCATACAAGTGCTGCGATTAGAAGGAAATAATAAGCGCCCTATAGAGATAAGCCTAGCAGGCTATATTACATTCAGGAGTCGAGGGTAAAATTATGTGCATAGAAGGAAATCACCTACGATTACGGCTCAAATCACGATTAGCATGCGCACACCATGCTCTATGCACGCCTTGTGACCGTCAGATCTCAGCCTGAGAGCCGAACGCACATGATCAATATAATGATTGTGGCCTTCTGGCAAGATGCCATTAATCAGACTTTCTAATGGCCCGAAGTCATAAATCAGGAGAAGCTGTCGGACGTACCCTAGCAGATCCTAGTAGCGTATTACCGTAGAAAAGTTAGTAACAGTGGCGATACTTCCACGTCTGATAATGAAGCCCGTAACACTTCCCCTTGGATGGCACCAGAAAAACGTAACAACCAACTCATAATTAAGATTATGGCTGCTTTATGACGTGGCCCTTCAAAATACCAACTCGCGTGTGTAAGGCGTGAAGTACGAAGCCTATTCCCCAAACCTGCGTTTTTTGCCTCTGCCGAGACCATTATTACCGTCACCTCTTCCGAAGCCACCTCTATCCCCACCACCTCCACCTCTGGTCCGTCCCCTCCACTGCGGACCTCTCCATCTTCCACGGCTCATTCCTCTGGGCGTCCTTCCTCCTCCTCCTCTCCCACGCCCTCTTCCTCTCGCCATCTCACCCACCTCACCCACTCCTTCTAGTGATATTACCCCATCCTCCAGCTCCATTGCTACATCCGAAAATTCTTCCTCATTCAAATCCGCAGCAATAGATACACGCATGAAGTCATATGCGACAACGGCTTCACCACCTCCCCACGCTTCGCTCGCTTGTCGTTCAATTTCGGCGATGACGGCGAAACGGGTGTCGTGAGGATTTTTGAATTGTTTAGGAGCTGGAAATCTGAGATAAGTGAGGAAATGAGCAGCAAGGCGGACAGTGGGCGTGAAGATGACGTTTGAAAAGAATGATGCCACAGTGTAGAAGCAAGTTAAATGAGATCAATCTCAGAGTATGTGGTGTACTCACCGGCTACCAATGTGATTCAGAACGACTTGCTGAGCTCCAATTTTTTTCGCAAATGTGCCCGCCATTACCGGAGTGGAGTGACCCCTTGCCGCAACCTTGCTATCCACTTCGTCTTTGGTTCGTCGTGCTGATGGGTCAATTTGGCGAGAGATGTACGTATCCGTCGCTTCATGAATGAGGAGTGATACGGGCATAGTTGCAGAAGGCTGTATAAGCGGGATAATCGGTGATGCGTCATATGTATCACCCAGAATGACAAGTTTGCGATGCGGAGGATTAGGCTCATGCAAGACATAACCTATGCAAGGGTCTGTGGGAATTCATTCAGCACTAGCGCATAAGAAAAGTTTAAATTCCCACCTCGATGTAATATCGGCCCTGCATCAACTACAACTTCACCGTAATAACCCGTACCACTTGTGACACCTTTCCAGAACCCATTGTCATCACAAAGGAAATTCTGACCAGGGCACTCGCTCGGATGAAGCACGGCAGGATCGCATGAGGTGGGCGTGTCGGATGATGTTAGTAGTTCATGGACCACGTAGCGCTCTCCTGTGTGGGTGAGGGTCATGGTAAAGATTGAGCGAACAAATGTACGGAGGCCGGCAGGACCGTAAAGTTCGATTTGTGGCTTTTAAGGGGTTAGTCATGGATATCATACACAGCTTTATAACACACAGGACCGTCTGAGGCTGGGAGGTCGCCAGAGGAAGCTATCAGTGGCGGGTGGAGGACATGTCTAAGGAAAGTGATTATTCCCATTACATGGTCGGCTAAAAGGGCACCGGAGTAAAGATAAGAAGTCTACAAGTCTGGTGAAACAAACCATGCATATGAGTGACAAATAACTTGGCCACTTTGAACGCTTTAAGGACTGGGTCTCCTTGACCGCGATGCTGCATCTGAAATTGTCGCACTGTTCCTTCTGCACAGTCGACCACTGATGACTGCTAGTCAATTCAATCAAGCGCTAAAGAAATAAAGCGCACTCCATAGCGAACCGTCGCCGATAACGTCTGCGACTAAGTATTGATGGTCTCTGTAATAAGATCGACATGAAGTGGCTCAAAGTGAAATGTCATACCAAGACTAGAGCAGTTGCGAGAAATTGAAGGGCCACCACCGCTGGAGGTGCCCAGGAAAGATATATTCATGCTTCGTGCCATGACTAGTATATTCACGTAAAAGGCAAGTGAAGTTGAATGTTGAACAGAGATTGTTGTGGCTGACTTTGGGCTGACTCTTGTTTGCAATCGAACTGTCAGTGCTATCGCAAAGCTATTGCGCTTATTGCGCTCAAATATTCACTGTCGTTTTGCTATAACTCGCAACTGTCGTTCATTCAAGCCACTGTCATTATGTTCACGGACCCTTCTGCTCGCGTGCCCCACGTCTTCGTTATACCCCCCGAAGAAGAGCACTCGCAAAATCCTCCTTGGTGCTGTTTTGACGCAGACCTGCCTCCAGAAAATAGCAGATCCGTAGAGTTATCCTCTGCTAACCAGCCTGACATCTTATCCGATGTACCCTTCTTGCTGCACGAGTCAGAATCTACTTCTTCCTTCCACCACGAGCAGCCTAGTGCAAGCCCAGTGGTTCTCACACAGTCCAGGAGCTCTACATCTAGCAATAGGAGCGAGAAGCATCAGAACCCACAGCATATCGTTATCTCTGCCATGCACAATAATGACCTCATTCGCATCGTCCAGCATGATGTGCGAGAGGATTCGGATGTGATTGAGGTCGTCAAGGTCAAACGTCCAAAGGACAATAAACCCAATCACACGGATCACATCCCACCGTCCCCGTCTAATCAAGAGCCACAGTTAAAGCGCTCAAAGACTTTCCGTGCTCGTGCGTCCCGTGCCTTCCAATCCATAAAGAATGTCTCTCTCCCCCATTGCAAGCAAAGCAACTCCAAACCGCATGTCAAGGACCTTTGGACATCCACTGAGAGCATGCCAGGCATCTTCAGAGGTGTTTTGCATTCCAAAGAGGACGTACCACCAACGGCGAGTCGCAAGCTTTCGAGCTTCTTCCAAAGACAGCCGTTTTCCTCGGAGGGAATCCTCTCGAGCTCGACGACTACGTCATTGCCTTATCTCAAGGGCTCTGACACCACTCCTTCCATTGCTGAGATCCGGCCCTCGTATGAGTTCATCGAGCGGCCCCTCACTCCCTGTGCACCCACGTACGACCACAGTCTTCGTCGTCCAGTGTCTTCAGCAGACTTTCAGCGAGCTCCTTCATCCGAGTCCAAGTTCAGCAAGGATTTGAAGCGACCTGTCTCATCACAGGATCTTCAACGTCCAGAGAAAGACTTGCGTCCTGTATCTTCGGATGATTTCCAGCACGACGAGCGCCCGACGTCACCCAACCCCCCCTCCACCCAAGCATCGCGCAAACGTTTCTCCGTTAATGAGCTGCACCGCCTTTTCTCCTTCTCTCCAGAACCTCCTTCCTCTTTCACGGTTCCTTCCGCATCCACATCCGCATCGACCTCGAGTACACACTCTTATCCTGATGTCCCATACACCGCGGTGCATTTTGTTGATGATGATTACGGAAGGGAGATTGAGGGCAAGTATGGTCGCAATCTCGACCTACTTGATGGTGACGATGACGAGTTGCCTTTGCCCTCACGGCCAAGGGATATTAGTTTCGAGTTGCGGCTTGACAGTTTGCACTTTGACTCGCTTTCGTTCAATGCTGAGGATTTTGATGTGAGCATGAACTTGGAAGCCTCAGGGCTAGGTATTTCACGGCAGTGATCTCCGCTTTTCATATGCTGTGAATGTGACAATTGCTGCGGTTTTTTGCAGAGCACATACATATGATTATGCTGGGCCTAGCGGGGTTCAAGTCAATGCTTCATTTCACGACTTGTACGATACCGATCCATATTTACAATTCGACCACCTTTTTATGCCTACCTCGAACATTCTCGTATATTGCACGAAGCTTCTAAGTTCTTGTCGCAACTTCATATCAAAATCACTCATTACTACTACATAAACATAATCGGTCCCTTGCTTATACATAGGATGTGACAGTGATGTGACACCGTGACAATAATACGATTACACGATATTCCGACCGAGAGAATTTGTTTGCAAAGGACTTGTCCGGCTTCCACCACATCAATGCTCCAGCTTCAGAGAGCAACGCAAAAGGTATGAAACTTTGCCTTCTGACACTCTGCACTACTTACTGTCATGTAGAACGTTGCACGGAGGTTGCGTAAGGCAACCGTCCAGCTTGGCGCGTGGAACTCTCACCGGGGGCTTGCTACGCCTTCAGGTCCTTATGACGCCGTCATTATTGGTGGAGGTAAGTTGCAGCGAGTCAGAATCAATCGAAATTGATGAGTACCAAATTTCAGGTCCTGGTGGATATGTTGCAGCAATTAAGGCTGCTCAGCTCGGGTTGAAGGTATAGTTCGGATGACGGGACATGGATAAGCACTGACGATTTCCCAGACAGCATGTATAGAAAAGCGTGGCAGCCTTGGAGGTACTTGTCTCAACGTCGGTTGCATACCTTCAAAAGCCATGTTGAACAACTCTCATCTCTATCATCAAACGAAACATGACCTCCAAAAGCGTGGTATTGATGGTGTGCAGAGTCTCCCGCGCGCGTTTCTTGACTCATTGCTCACGGTGAAATCAGTTGCTGGCGTTTCTCTCAACTTGCCCCAGATGCTGCAGGCCAAGGAGCAATCCGTCGTTGGCCTTACCAAGGGTATTGAGATGCTCTTCAAGCAGAACAAAGTCGACTACATCAAGGGTAGTGCATCGTTTGTATCTGCAACGCGTATCGCGGTTCAGCTCAATGATGGCGGGTCGGCCGAGGTCGAGGCGAAGAACGTAATCATTGCTACTGGCTCCGAGGTCGCACCCTTCCCGGGCGGTGCTATTGAGATTGACGAGAAGCAAATTGTCAGCTCAACTGGTGCCCTTGAATTGCAGAAGGTACCTGAGAAGATGGTTGTCATCGGTGGCGGTATCATTGGCCTCGAAATGGGCAGCGTATGGAGTCGCTTGGGCGCAGAGGTGACCGTCGTCGAGTTCTTGGGCACAATTGGAGGTGCCGGTATTGATGAGGAGGTTGCGTGAGTTCTCGTGAAATCAGAATACGATTTTCAAACTGACAATTCCAAAGCAAGCAATTCCAGAAAATTCTCACCAAACAGGGTATCAAGTTCAAACTCAACACTAAGGTCCTTTCTGCAGACAAGCAGGGTGGGAATGTCATCATTCAGACTGAGTCTGCCAAAGGCGACAAGCAGGAGACGGTGGGTGGTGGTTTATGGACTGGTCTAATTTTTACCAACTGGTTTATTACAGCTCGAAGCAGATGTCGTCCTTGTTGCTGTTGGCCGTCGTCCGTATACTGAGGGCCTCAACCTCGAAGCTGTTGGTATCGAGAAAGACAGCAAGGGCCGCATTGTCATCGACGACCAGTTCAACACATCAGTGAAGAACATCAAGTGCATTGGTGACGTGACTTTCGGACCTATGCTTGCTCACAAGGCTGAGGAGGAAGGTGAGCCCCATCGGTGCTGTATTATGGCTCAGAACTGATGACAAGGCAGGCATTGCTGCTGTTGAGTACATCAACGCAGGGCACGGGCACGTCAACTACAACGGCATCCCTTCTGTTGTCTACACTCACCCTGAAGTAGCATGGGTAGGAAAGACTGAGCAGGAACTTAAAGCCGCTGGTGTGAAATACAATATTGGCAAATTCCCCTTCGCTGCAAACTCACGTGCCAAGACCAACCAAGACAGCGAGGGCTTTGTGAAGTTCATTAGCGAGAAGGAGACGGACCGCATTCTAGGTGTCCACATCATCGGTAAGACTGGTAGAGAGAGACTATCGTACTATACTGATCACGTTTTCTTTCTAGGTCCTAATGCCGGTGAGATGGTCTCAGAAGCTGTTCTGGCAATGGAATACGGTGCAAGCTCCGAGGATATTGCACGGACAACGCATGCTCATGTATGCACTTTGCCGTGTCTTTCAAATAAGTGATACTAATGTACATTTCTTCGACAGCCTACCCTGAGCGAAGCATTCAAGGAAGCAGCAATGGCTGCCTACGGGAAAGCGATTCACTTCTAGATTACGATATGTTTATCCTTGTCGTGGTCTGATGATATGTGTTGCACACCACCTACTAGTAATGGCATTTAGAACGGATTCCATATTTACATAATACATTCCAGATATGTCAACTAGGTTTTTGCAAATTCAACGGCGGCATTGCGGCCCAACCTTTGAGCCTACACCTACCGATGACATAAGCACTCTTCTGTAAGATTGGCGGTTAACTTTAAGTAATTTCAATTTATGTATATGTAAGTATGATAGCCTGAGTGCGGCATGCCGCATCACGCTCGCCACTAGACTCGTAACCAGTCTGACTATGCGTCAATTTGAGATGGTGAGAATGTATAGACGTAGTCAGACTGGTCGAGATCATCTCGGAGTGATTTGGCAGGCGAAGCGAGGAGTTTGAAATTTGGCAGATGCCGATATGCCGCTTTGGGTAACGGTATATCATGATCACGCCGGAGCACTACTAATCATTGATTATGACAATCAAAATGATTCCAATTCTACCCACCCATGATGATGTATCAGCAGCCTGGCTCGGATATTCATTCCTTCCAGCCTCGACGAGGAAGTTTTTCTTGGATTGCGGATGACGGTCATGTTGTATCCAATCTCGGAAAGACCCCCCATGGCAACTTGCAAGGCACTTGTGCAATCTCGTGTCTCGCAGAAAGTAATGATATGAGGCATCTGAGCTGGGACAATTTCGGACGTTGTGATCCTTGGGAAAGAAGGTCGAGTCGCGAGAACGCCTCGAGAACTTGCTGGTGTTGTGTCGTTGAGAGGGTCCTCGTAAAATCCGTTGGGAGATTCTCAATTGGAGCAGCGAGAGCAGACGCATAACTTGATTGGAACTACCTCCGGCACGACCGGCACCTATCAAATTTCAAACTCCTCACTTCGCCCTGCCACGCCACTCTGAGATCGACCACTACACCACTCGAGTATCGGTGGTAGTATACGCCAGGCTGGTCATGAGCCTAGCTCGCCTCATCTTTCCTCCCGCGTTAATTTATCACAAACTAACATTGCAATGGCATGTGCAGATATGAACAGGAAGTGCTTTGAAGCCTGATTGTAAGACGGGGAACCATACTGCAGTCTGCAGTGGCGGTCAATATCAATGTGACCAACGATTCATTCAACAGGTGCGACTACAACTACTAAATACTCATCACATTGACAGTTGTATGAACGAACGAATTTCGAGGAGGGACTCCCGAAGTCTGTATGCGCATCGCGGATACGGAATTTACACAGGTGCTGTCAGGAGGAACGACTATATTCCATCGTCCATAAAGGTCTGCCTACGGGAGACTACACGGGCTCACCGATCGGGCGTAGTAATGGTGCAAACTGAGTGTTCGTGCAACGACTGCACACAACTCTTTGGCCCCTGTCAAATAGACCCAACATTTAATCCATTGTGCGGTAAATAATCATACCTGCATCTACTTGCAAGGATACCGCCTTTGCTTCAATTACACACCAACTTTGTGGAAGTCCGCAGCTCACACATTTCAATTGCAGTACTCTCGCGTAAAGACCCAAAATAGTCAAGGTTCGGTATCGTTGGTCGTTAGCTGCTAAACAAACTTCCAGCCTGTTACCAGTGAACCAATAATCACACGCCAGCACCCACACAGCTGCAGCGCCTCCTAGCACCGACGCGTCCGACTAAAGGTATAACTTACCTCCGGCATCGTGCGATAGCCGCGATTGCTGAGGGGTATTAAATGCGCTTTCGATAAGGTCTGTTCTATCCATCTTCCACTCTTCCAATCCACCATGCTACTACTGTCTGACCTGCCCATTTCTGACAACATGCAGCTCGTCCTCGGTGTTGCAGCTTGTATTCTGGCAGTAGTAATGATTGCTCTGGCTCATCGTCCTAGATCAATGAGCGGCCTTCCTCTCCCACCTTCTCCTCCCAATTGGAGACTTATGGGACATTTCCTTCCTCCCCGCAAGTAAGGATTCTCATCCATGATTTTTTGAATTCTGATCATGTCCTATCGGTCGTCAGTTCATTTCTTACTGTAGCGGAATGGATTAATGAGTACGGTCCTGTAATTACCATTCGCGCAGGAACTGAGAAAGTTGTCATTATCGGCCGCCACAAAGTTAGTCCTTCCACGCTCAGTTGTCATATCCAGGCTCAAAGTCCTGCTGTAGGCAGCTATGGAGATTATGGAGAAACAGGGCAGGGTGCTTGCTGATCGTCCTCCCATGAATGCTGGACAAATGATTACCGGAGGATTGGCCATTGGTTTTACAGGCGTTGGGGACAAGTTCCGCCGGATGCGTAGGTTCGTACTCTGCGTGACAAAAAAGCCGCTATCTGACATTGCAAGGTGATCCAGAGCGATTCATACGCATCTCCAGCCCAAAGCAGCTGAAGCATATCAGCCTATGCAAATGTCATTTGCGAAGAACACGGTCCTTAACGTTCTTGATGATCCATCCAACTTCCAGAACCACGTGATAAGGTAAGCATTTTCCTAGGTCTGGGATATATTATTTCGACTTACGAATATTTTAAAGTTATGCTATGACGACGATTCTGACAGTGGCATATGGGAAGGATACACCTACATCTGCAGCTGACCCCGAAGTCAGGGCGATTCGTCAGTTCATGTCTGTATTTCGGACAGTCCTAAGCCCTGGCGCTTACTGGGTGGACACGATCCCCTGGCTCAGATACCTTCCTTGGTACGGCAGAAATTTAAAAGGGGAGTTTGAGAGCAGTCGGAAAGTCTTTGTTAGTCAGATGAACCGCTTGAAACAACAATTAGTACGCGTCTCTGATCTACCAGTCTTCACATGTTATCTCAGTTGTCCCACAGCAGAGTAATGTGGACGCAGGTCCTTCGTTCGGGAGATATGTGCTAGAAAATGAACGTCTCATTGGCTTGTCTGAGTCGGAGGCGCATTTTCTTCCTGGCACCTTTTTTGCAGCTGGAGGTGA